TGTAGCCAAGCGTAAAATTTACTCAACAATGGGATTCATTAGGGTGTGAGGAAAAGGCTTTTGTTCTTCTACTTTTCAATGGGGCTACAAGAAAAAAAACAACAATGCCAACATTAATGTATCCATTTTCCAACTCCAGCATCAGCAAAGCAGCACAGACCAACCACTGCTGGTAAGAGCTGTGGGATTCTTTTAAGATTGTGCAGACACTTGAAGAGACAGGTAGATGCCTTCAAACAGATTATATCTATATACACCGCTTTGGGTCTATCCTGCAAGCTCCCTGAATATAAGGCTGTGTTAATCACCAATTCATCATTGGGCCAAAAACCTGTTGCAACCCTTTTCCAAGCACAAAGATGTCGTATTAATCTCCGTGTGGTTCTATGAGTCATACCACAGGCATTTTCAATTTGACCCAACTTATCTCTTCAGTTCACCCTTGTGTAGCCAAATCATGCCATTTCACAATTTTTTCCTTAAACCACTCATCTCATTCCCACTCTGACTCACTCTCTCTCCTTTTTACCCTTTGTTTAGGCCTTTGAGTAAGAATTGAGTAATAGTCTCCCCCTACCTTTTATTCCTCCATTCCTACCCTCCTCTTCCCATCATCAATCCATCCCTCCGCAGTGAAGCGGAGGAATGCAATTGTGCATTCCAGGCTTAATGAAGTTAATATTGCAGGAATCCAGGACTAAGTGATCGCTGACCCAACACCACAAAAACAAAAGGCTGCTTGTTCAAGTGGTGAGCCACACAAGCTTACCAAAGCATTTCAATCTATTCGTACAACAGAAACGCTGGAAAACAGAAAGTTTAGAACTTTGTTCAGCAGCTAAAGTGGATTACACCATTCAATTATGCAGACTGGGAGGGCAAAATTATTATTATTTTTTTTTTTTTTAAATTTCAGTGAAATGGCTTCCTGGTAGAAGTGTTTCCCCAACATTACGTGAAGAAGCAAAAAGAGTAACACTATTGTAAAACATTACTGTAACCTAAACATTACCCTCTTTAAAACCTTATATGCATCTTCTATAACTACTGTGTGATCTAGCGTGAAGAGTCCTGTCAGGTTCGCAGGCGTAAGGGGTCCAGTGGGGATTTAATTTACCTTTAACTACTGTCAGGCCAAAAAAGTGAAGCTCTTTGATTCCAAGAAGCTCTGCCACATGATTCAGAACATCCTGGCCTGTGGACTTCAGCTAGAGTAGAGCAAAGAAAAAGAAAGTCTGCAGGTTTCACAAAATACAAATCTTTATCTAACCGGGGCCATCTGTAAAGTCCTCTTACTGAGCAGATCCTCTTAAGAGCACATCCCAAAAAAAAAAAAAAGAAAAAAGATATTAAACACTCACCCCGACAGTGATGTCCAGCTGTTCTTTGTTGGGGAGCAGAACACAAATAGTTCTCTCCTGCTTTAGTGATGTGGACATGATCTCTTGTGCAAGTTCGCGATATGCTCTGTCTTTAACACTCAAGTCTTTGGGTATCTTCACTCTTCACTTTTATCTCTTCCAGGACAGTTCATCCATATTGCATCTAAAAAAAGATAGATAACAAAAGAGTAAGACGAGAGAGAGAGCGAGAGAGAGCGAGAGAGAGCGAGAGAGAGCGAGAGAATGAGTTACATTGTCTTAAAAATCATCTTCATGGAAATGTTCCACAAACGTGACAATCGTGTATGACTGAACTTGCTGATCCACTCATTTTTCGATGATCTCATAGTAACAGCTCATTCTAATTACCAGTCATTAACTGAAAGCAACCAGATAATCCTCTTGCATTTGTTCCATTCCAACAAAACGTGCTAAAAATGAATTAGAATATTGCTCATTGTGCCTTATCAAACGCTACAAATAGTCACAGTGTAGGGCACTGGACTATCAACCTGAAACATGCCCCTCTACGCTGACCCTAAGCCCCAACTGGTACGAGGCTCATCTGATTAACGTCTAAGAATCAATTAATCAGGTTAATTACTGCCGTACGCCCACTCAGATTCCCTTAAATCCTCTGAACGATAACCAGTTTAACAAGAAAGAAAAAAAAAAAAGTAGATATATGCATCACTGAAGGAGGAGGAGGGGGGGGATCTTGTGCAAATTATCTTCAGAAAAAATGGTTTCTTATGTCATACTTCTGTCTTTTACACCCTCCTTTTTTGAGGTGTGGAAGATTGTACATTCAAAAGCACTTGATGCAATAGTGTTTATCTGTGTTAAATGACGAGAGAGAGACAAACAAAACAATTTATGAAAAAAAGAAAAAGGTGTTGTCAGTGTACAAAACAAGTTGTGGGAACTCTTGGCTTAAAACATTTGTTGTACCACATATGATTTATAGGCATGTTCAAACACAGCCCCACTGACACCTGGGTGTCAGCGCAACAGACAAAATAAACCTGAAATACCAGTAGCTCCGACATCTGACTTACTATTGACAAAGTCAAATGAAATTCTACGTTTACACTGAAAATGTAGCGTGGAAAACAAGTACAAAAACCTCAGACGCATGTACATTATCATGCATGCAAACATGTGTTACTTTAAAAAAAAATATTATGCCTTCTGGGAGTCTTGGCTTGGAGCTAATTCACAGTAAACACACCAAATCTGATCAGCCAAATGAGCTATACCACTGCAAGCAGTACAATGCTGCTGCCATTTATGTAACAGACTATAAGTGAAACAGATGCAAGATAATTAAGCAGCCTTAAGCAATAGGAAAACACAGTTCAACATTACAGCTTGCTTTTTTGTTTAAGACAATGGAAGCAGAGGCTGCAGATCATTGCTTCACGTATGAATTTATAAGAGACATGTGACGCAATCGCTCTAACAGAAATTACGCTAATCTGAATGTTCTTGCTGTTTATTTGAGCACTGGCTCCGTGCTCAAAGTGCATTTTCAACAGCACATACACATAAATCATTTGGAGTCTTCATATTTCATAAACATATGGTTGAAATAAGAAACAGGTGAGCAACTACCAAAATCAAGTTAAACCATACAAATGTGACCTATTTTATCTACATAACCTACACTGCATCCTGTCAACAAAACACATTTCCCATCAACCCCAAACGGTGCCACTTGAAGTCTTCAGACATCCCCCATGTTGCTGACCAATGCGGAACCTGGCATCCCATGTGAGCAACCATCTGTATGCTTTAATTCCCCTCCAAGATTGTTATAATCCCTGCGTATACTGCTGGCTGGTGGAAAAACAACATCCCCTGTGCAGTAAGCAAGCTTTCTTTCACTGCCCGCTAAAACCACAACGCAGTGGGGTGAGGACCCCCTTTACACGCATCCCACTTTATGAGTAGGAGTTTGGTGGGACTAGTATATATTTCTTATGACTGAAAAAGTTCTCGTTTCCCCATAAAAAGCATAACAAAGTTCACCAACTGCTCGCTGATAATGGCATTAAAAGTTGCATCAGAAGGATCCTCAACGCTCTCCAGGCAACTTAAAGTAGCTAGCAGTCGTTTAAATATAAACCTTGAGATGATTACACATATTTATGAGTTAGCTACAAATCAGTACAAGGCAAAAGTAGCTGACAACAAACAATTTATACCATTTACGTCTATTTTTCCCCTCAGAGAAAACGTGCTTTCGGCCCGATAGAGTTTTAACGCGCAACAAGTGCATCACAAATAAGTCTGGCTTTTCTTTTAGCTACTTAGGTAAAAGCGCTAAATTACTTACAATCACAGTATAAGAGATGATAGAGTTCAACTTTCAGTCGCACGGCTTCTCAAAACACATTTCTTCTGTAACCCACTTAAAAACATGACCGACACAAGAAGCCCAAACTGCCGTTCACCTCCCTACCCATTGCGTGTTGTAGCTTCTTGAGGGCTTTGCAAAACCATCCCAAGCCTGGAACGTTTGAGCCAAACCATTTTGGATAGTTGTGGGGGTGCACAGTTGTAATCGAAATGTTTGTAAAACTTTAACTTCATATTTGATGAATATGCGAAATCTTGTCACATTTATATTTTCTAGATAAACAAGTTTCTATACCCATATGAATCTATAACATTCCTACAGCGGGTTGCAGTTGGATACTGTTGACTAGACGGGGCAGACTCCCCTCATTTTATGTTAGTGTAGTAAGACGTGCTAATTAGAGGTCCCAAGCACCGTCTTTGAAAACAGGAGCTGCACGACCTGTATATAAAACTTTGTGCAAGCCAAGGTGTTAAAACGGTTCAAATACCTTTCGTTTCTGACGTGTACTTCCACTGTTTCCTGCGAAATTAATATGTTGAGCATTAGGTGCGCCCAGAAATCACGTGACGTGAATGTGCACCATCCCGGTTAGTGAGCCGCGTTGAGTATACCCAGGGTTTTTAAATGGGGCCCTATTTAATCAGACTGAATAGCTGATTTTACGGTTCAGGAAACTGCGGACTGAAATTAAATTTTGTTTAAATGATTAAAATCTACTTAACACCACTTATAACGGATATGATACATTTTGTCTGAGACTTTCATTTTTGTAGAATAAAACTACTCTAGGAATAACAACTTGATAATAACAAAAATAACAATTGAACTCCATTAGCAAAAATTCACAACACGCCTAAACCTTCTGGGATAGTGCAAAAACCCTGCTCTCACGTCTTAAGAACAGGAGGCATTAATATTGTCACTTGTAAGTTTCAGATCAAGGTACACAACCTGTGGATCAAAACACTACACAAGAACCTCTATAGACACGTCAAACTGCGACGACACCGCCATCTGCAGGCTAATTGCTGGCACTGCATTGAATACGATCAATGAACACAATCGAAAAAGAACAAGTTGCACATAAAGGTTAAAATTAAAATAATATGCTACACAACCCTACTCTTAATCAAATTTAGCAGATAAGGATGTATTACTTACTGATTGACATTTCAGAGATTTTGCCTACATGCACCAAATGCTTAGGAGTGACAACGCTCCCAATTCCTGAAATGAACTCCAGAAAAAAAGACAAGTCTTATACATACTTCATAGTATGCATATTTAATGTTACATTATGATGATATACAAACAACTGTCCAAGAAACATTTCTCAGTTTCAACCAACATTTCCAGTTTAAACATAAATAATCACCAAATGATTAACCAAGTGCTTTCGATAAAAGGTTCATATTACCAACACGTGCTTTTCCTGAATCATGATCATTGCTTAAAACCCCGTAATCAAATGTCATGTTGTCGGCAAAGCTTTACGCTCCCAACGCCAGGCTGGGCAAATGTGCAGAATGCTGTAACTGTTAGAGACAGCATAAAGATTTCAACCAAAGCCAAGGCTGAGAAACAATCCTATTTCAAATGCAATCTTTGCCATTAAAAATGATGGAAAATTGTTGATAAAAAAAGTAACTTGTACAAATGACCATTTTCAGTACAAAAGCTTGTAAAATGTAGTTGTGGTGCAAATCAATGCAGTGTCTCTTAAATTTGGTGGAAAAAAAATCATTTGCAATGGTGAGGACAGTACGTGCAGAATTGACTTGGGTCAGCTCACCAAAACAGCCATTTCTTTTTTGTAGCAGCTACATTTCCAGTTCAGCATCTAAAATTAACTGAATAACTTGGAGTAAAATAATGTTTTAAGTAAAAACAAAGCACATAAATAACACTGAAAATATAGCATATGAGGAGGGGAAATAATTTAACCACCCCTCCAAAGAAAAAAGAAAAAAAGAAAAAAGGAAGTAGTAGAAAAATAAAAATAACAAGATCCATAACCACTGATTCCAACATCATCAGACAGAAACCACAATTTTCCTTATATGAATGATAATTAAAAAAAAGTTATATGCATTTAAAAACAAAGAGATAATCCAGATACTATAATCAGAATAAAATTTAGCTGCGTTGAGGTATACGCTCCACATTCCTCTTGTCCAGCCAAATGTCTGAATCTGTCGCAGTTCTACTGAAAGAACTTGAGGCCTGCAACAAGGAAGAACTTCTCCAGGAAGATCTCAGAGTCGAGGACGGCGATGTGAGCAGCCCGGCCGATAAGGGAGTTGGCTGTGTTGGGCAGGGCGTGAATGACATCATATCGCACTAGATTGCAGTCTTTGTTCTGAAGCACTGGCAGCAGCAAGTTTTCAATCATCTCAGCGTACACAGGACCTGGTGTAAGCAAGACCAAAGAGGTTGGTTATAGTCATTTACTTTTAAAAAGACAGGAGAATCATAGTGTAGAATCATACACTGCTAAAAAAAAAAAAACCCAGGAAAAAAAAAACAACAACAAAAAAACCCCAAAAAAACCAAACAAACCCGGAACTTTTCAGATCACAATGGGGAAAAAAATCTTTCTGATATCTATACTGATATGGACCAGGTATTGTGAAAGGATGTCACATTATTCGATGTAAATGAAATCTGGGTTGAGTTCATGGACCCCCTGGAACTTAAACTAAAACAAACAAACAAAACAAAACAAAACAATGCAGCAGACTAGTCTATTTGCCAGAATTTAATTAGAGCAACTCAAAAATGGTACTCAAGTAGTTTGTATTTCCCAATTAGGTTGTTATTCATGTCTGGCAATGTCGAGTCGTGCTCCTATTAAGATGACAGATGATGTCCTGGGGGATCCTCTTCTAAAACTGGACCGGTGCATCCCTGAGCTCTTGGACAGTCTAAGGTGCAACCACGCAGCATCGGACATTCATCCCAGTGGCCTGCTTTAGGTATTTTGTAGGGCTCTGCCAGTGTTCATCCAGTTCCTCTTTGCACAAAGAAACAGATACAAATCCTGCTGATGGATTAAGGACCTTATAAGACCTTGTCCAGCTCTCCAAGAGTAGCCATTTCCTGGAATCTCCTCTATGCTCTCGAGACTGTGTTGGAAGAGACAGCAAACCTTCCGGCAATGGCACATATTGATGTACCTTATATGAGGATTTGGACTAACATCTGTATCCTCATGCTACCAGTAGTGACACTGACCCTAACCAAATGCAAAAAAAAAA